TGCTGCGGACGCCTCAGTGCGCAGGTGCCGACGTTGGGGCTGCTGCTGTTCCTGGGCACACTCTGCTGCTGTTTCTGTGGGCTCCAGAGCCGCTTGGGCAGCAGCCACTGGGCAGCCCTGCCGGAGGAGACATCGCCACCCTCCCCATGGTGGCAGCAGCTCTGTGGGCCCCGAGCTCTGTGTCAGGGAGGCCTCGGTCACAGCAGCGTGGCCTGGGCAGCCGCGAGGGCCCGGGCTGGCCGCCAGCCCTGCCTCTGCCCACTGCCCCTTCCTGGAGGCACCCAGTGGCCGTGGCCTGGCAGCACCCCCTGCCCTCCATGTCCCCAGCCAGCCCAGCCTGGGCACCTCAGGCTGTCCCCACCCTCCCGCTGGGGTGGTGTCCCAGCCTCCAGGCCTTCTGCTGCAGGCCTGGGGGACATTTTGGGGCAGCGCCGGAGCAGCCTCGTGTCAGGAGGGACCAGGCGCCTGCCCGGGGGCTGCTTATGGCCTCTGACACCCGATTCCTCAGGGCTTCCCACCACCCCGGCTCCTCCAGGGCCTTCTGTCCCCTTGGAACCTCCTGCCACCCACTCCCTCACACATCCCCCTCGTGCCTTCCCACTGCCTTGTCCCGTCTGGGCCTCCGCAGCCCCTCATCCCTTCACGGCCTCCCAGCACCCCGTGCCCTCAGGGGCACCCCCAGCCTGGCCCGGCAGCAGCGCCGCAGCCCCACAGGAGCTCCAGCAGCTCCTCAGCCATCACGGCACCAACACACGGGCAGCAGGACACAGATGGCGCTTCCTGCCTGCCACAGGGCTTGTGGCTTCAGCACAACCACCAAAGGCCAAGGGGCTTCTGGCCATTTCCCCTGCACCACTGCACGCCCCGGCAGGTTGCTGAGCACAAGAACCCTTTTCCCTCTCTTCCCCTATGCCCCACACAACCTGGGCAGCAAAAGAAAGGTCTTGGGACTCTTGTGGTTTATAACATATCCTATATTATTTACATACTAGATGGAAACGAAACGAAGAAAAGAACAATCTCTATGAAAAAAAAAATAACAGATGGCCCATGTGGCCCCAGAAGATAGAGCCTCTCAGCCCTAACATATCCTATATTATTTACATTCCAAAAAGAAGAGAAAAAAGGAAAAGAACAACCCTTATGAAATAAAAAATCCTGGCTGGCCCATGTGGCCCCAGAAGACAGAGCCTCTCAGGTCAGCTCTGAGTACACCTCCAGCAGCGCAGCCAGCCCAGGCCCGACAGACGAGGCCGTGTCCTCCATGCCCAGAGGATTTGGTCTTGCATCCTCTGGAGAATGGAGTATCGGGCACTCTGGATGGCCCGGAGGACATACAGCGTTTCAAGTGCCAGGTCTGATACGGCACCGCTTCTGTCCTCCGTCAGGCGTTCGAGGGCTGCAAGAGAGACAAACAGAGCCACGGTCAGATCCCAGAGCTGTGGGGGCCCAGCGAGAGCCCCCTGCCAGGGCCATGCCAGCCGGCTCTTGCCTTGGCCAGGAGGGAGCAGGGACCAAGGGGGTCAGCCCAAAGCTGCTGGCCACAAATGCCCCACGTGGCCCTGAAATCTCACTGTGCTCTGCCCACGCCGTCCCTCATCGGCACAGGGAGCAGAGCCCTCCACAGCCTGGCCAGGGCTTGCAGCTGCCCCCAACAGCCAACACTGTCAGCCCGCTGCCCTGGCTCACCTCTGCACAACACCTGGAGCTCTGCCTGCTGCCCCCTCAGCTGCTCCCCGGCCATCCCTGAGAACACAGAGCCTGTCAGGGTCCCAGCAGCACAGCTCCCTGCCAGCGGCGCTGCCAGCTCTGTGGCCACACGGCCTCCTGCCCCGGCAGGGCTCAGCCCGGGCCCTCACCGCATCCCGACCCAGCCCAAGGGCACGGCTGCCAGAGGCCGGCAGCAGCAGCCCCGAGGGCAGCCGGG